AAAAACTGTAAAGAAAACCCAAATGACTATTGTGTTCTAGGGCACAACATGGTAATTCTATGATGTATGGAGGACTGGAGGTCCTCTCTTCTTTTGAAACTAAGAAACCAAGGATAAAGCAATCCTATGATAAAGAGATCTTGATTTAGCATGCTGGTTAAAGAGAAACAACTATCTGTTCATCTAGCATTCATGTGAGAGTCAGATAACCACAAAATCATAAAACACTCCTCACACCATTAAAACTCTTTCCCTTTTAAAAGAAATAAAACAATTGACCTTTGCTTATGTTTATTTCTGCAGCCAGAGATTAAGTACTGGCCCTGGCTTTAACTAAGAATGTGTTCTCTCTTTCATGCTTCAAAATGAATATCAAGGGTTTTATTCCCTTAACTGTCAATAAAACATTTGAGTTCCTTGGGACAAAAGGTGCTATTAAAGTGCAAATATAACTATGAAGTTTGCGGTTGTGCACACATGCACACGCACACACAAACAAAGCACAAACAACCCTTCTTCTAAAAAGAGAAGGAATCATAAACTATGCCATCACGCCTTATCTTTAATTACCTTTGTAGATATTTTTGCCAGCACACTACTAAGAAGCATATAATAATTACCCCTCATTATGCAAGTGTATCTGGAAGCACTGCTCAAGGACATGAATATTTGGAAATCTTTAATTTTGGTAATTAGTGAATGGTCTCCACCAAGAGTCAGATTTGCCCTTACTCACTATCACTTATTGAAAATAAGAATGACTACAAATAGTCACAAATTTGAAAATGCATCTGTTGGTATGCAGCCCCTCTCTCAGTCTTTAATATCAATCTGAATTAAAGAAAGAGTTTTCAGCTTCTTCAGCTACAATTGTGTACACTTTAATTGATTGCTATTTAATATACCTCTTAGGAGGGAGACTATATTCCAGACTTGCAGGCAGGGTATTTAAGGTGACATCTTGGGCTTTTATTTCTTTCAACTTGTAAGCACAGTTCAGGAGCTGCTTCTTCTGTGGTTTCCCAGGAACTGCCAAACTGTAGCAATACATCTGCTAGAGAGACCAAATTAGCCAGATCAGTCTGAAGTCAAGTAGGAGGCAGGTTAGGTTTGCACCTTATAGACTAACCAAAGTAGATAAATGGGTAGTAGAAGCTTTTGTGAGCTGAAGCTCACTTCGTTAGATGCTGTGAAAGGACATGCAGAAAGCAGAAAATAAGCAGAGAGAAACTGGAACACAGAAGCTGACAAATGAACCAGCAGCCACTAGATGTCACTGAGGCTCCATGCAAGGGCTTCCACTGCTTTGGAAATCCTCACCGAGAACTGTCCTGTGTACCCGACTTGGAAATGACCCAAGAGCCCAGATGCTCCATCATCCAGTAAAAAAAGAGAATGAAAATGAGAAGCATCACGTTTTATAAAGGTAAAACACTTGTGGATATCCACTCTTCTTCAAAACAGATATGTCTATATGTATGCATATGTTTGTATATGTGTGTGTATATTTATATATGTGTGTGTATGTGTATACACGTACATATATGTGTGTGTGTATACATATATATATGTATATGTGTATATATATACACACACATATACTAGGCACATATGTGTGTGTATATGCATATACATACATAAGCGCGCACACGTTTATATAAATGTGTGTGTATACGTGTGTGCATGTGCAGATACATATATATGAGAAACATTACGTTTTATAAAGGTATTGTGGACATCTGCTCTTCAAGAAACAGGTATGTTTATATGTATGTATGTATGTATACACACATATACTTACACATACATATACATATATGTATATATATGTGCATGCATGTGTATATGTATATACACATACTATATATGTATATACATATACATACATAAGCACACATATACATACATTTGTGTATGTTTATATACATACACACGTTTGTGTATATGTGTGTGCGCCTATGTATATTCATATATATATGAGAAGCATCACGTTTTGTAAAGGTAAAACACCTGTGGACATCCGCTCTTCAAGAAACAGAAATGTTTATATGTAGATATGTATTTACATAGATGTATAGATATCTATGTGTGTCGTATACAAATCTACATATACATATATATAGGCACACAAACACACGCATAGGTAGTTACAAGCATGTACGTACACACGTCTATGTATCCCTATAAACGTGTCTATACACACGCAGCTGACCCTGGCTACCTCGCCGCACACGTGGTTC